GTTAGTGGTAGAAAAAAAATGTGATCATTGAATCATGTACAGTGTCATAGTTTTGAGAAAAATTTTAATACCAATGCAGATTATGTTTATTAAGAAAGTTTTCATGCTGGTAAGGAACTGATTTGTAGCATGAGAACATCTGAGTTAGGATCATTCAAATTATAACAAATGGAAGCATGAGTATGTGTTTGTAATTATTTCACAGCAAGAAGAAATTGAATACGTCATTAGGAATACTGTGTTCTGCTGTAGAAATTGTATATGGAAGTAAGAGGAACCATATATTAATCAAACAGTTGGTCAGAATATCATAATTAATGCTTTTAATTTCTTGATCAACTCAGATCTTGAATAGGAAATTATATTTTCTTGATAGGAAATGATTATTCAGTATTTAACCAGATAACTTTGGTCTAATAGCATCTTTGGGATTTTCAATGTCAAAGTGTAGTATAAGAGGGATTCTCTTACCCATATTTTTCTTTCTCTTCTGTGAATAGCAATTTAAACATCACAACTCAGTCATTTATATTAACTGATTGAGATCACTGTTTCTCATTAATAATTATATTTAATTTCTACAAAATTGGGAGTGATGGCAGGAAAGTGAATCATTATTTTTGCACTTCAGCAACTGGAAGCAAGGGTTTTACCCAGTTCACTGCAAAGCAGGAATTACTAGGATATATGAAGTGATCTGCTGAAATCAGAGTCTTGGTGAATAATGCCACTAAAGACGTGGTTTAGCTGGTTTTAACTGGTAGAAGGAGGTTCTGAGGTATCTTGTATTGGCAAGTCAGAATTTGTTCTCATTTGTCTAACAAGGATCTCAATATATTATTGGCATTGTTTAATCCTGCCTTTTTGAGGAGGCTGTCTGCCTGGATCCCATTTACCACATTAAATATTTGGGTTAGAATCAGAAATAAGATTAATTTCATGATAAAAATATTAGCACAAAAAAAATGGCAAAAGAGTCACGAATTTTATTTGCCCACTAATGCCTTTCTCCATGAGAGCTGAAGCAACACTAGAATCATGAATGTCTTCAGAGATGCATTTCTGTGTCAGATAGCTATAGACACACGAAGCACCTGATCCTGAGCTTTGCCAAACTCCCAAGATGTGCTAATTACTTATGTTCTCCAGTCTCTGGCCTGTACAAAAGTATTTCCAATTACAGACATATTATACTGTTTTTATAAGAAACTTCTCTAATTTTATCCTGAAGAGTAGAGCGTGAGAAGGTAAATGTGTGTTCATGTGAATGTTCAGAACATCAGCCAAGAGAATACTGCAGTTCCATATGCTACGTATGTAAAGAAAACCATATAAAATGCAGTTTACACTTTGATAGGCAGAGAGCAATAAATGAAAGGGATGAATAAATATAAGCTGATTAAAAAGACCGGTTATTTTGAGCTATTTTCTAGAGATGCACCTCAGGCAGAACTTGACACTAAGACAAAATCAATGTAAACTGAATTGGTGCCCAAACAAGTGCTGGGCCGATCAATCGGGAATGCTTCTGGTGGGAAGGAGGAATTGACTGCCTCAGCAGGTTGCTTTTTTCTTCAGAATGGGACAAGGTGACAATGTAGAAAAGAACTTGAGCCGTTAGTACTTGGATATTCCTCTACTGAACAGGGAATGCCTGGCAAGTGTCTGGCTGCCTGCCAGACTCAGCCTAGAAAATGAAACCCTGTGAAGACTTCATTGGCTAAGAAGGTAATAGAATGGAAAGAATGTTTTATTAAAACTGAACGGGGGTAATTCGGATGTAGGCTGGAGGAGTAAGTGCTTACCACAGGGACTTGGGGTAGCTGTTCTGGAAGAGTTACTGTAGAATACCTACTCCCTGACTTAGATTTACGTATTTTAGATTTGTATTTTAAACAGACTAAAACTATCAACTGTAGGCGCTTCCTTCGTCCTCAATGCCAAACAGAGTGGCAAACCCAGATTCAGAACAAGTGTCCTAATTTCGTCTTCGTGTGCATTTGCCAGAAGTACTGAGGGTCATTTTAAGATCTTCATGCCTCTCCACAAGAGTTCATGGAATATCTGACCTGTCAAACTGTCAATACATTTTAAAAAGTGTCTTGTTTAGCGCCAGAGACTCTGTAAGTATCATTTGACCTTGAGGCCAAAACTAAACTGTTAAATCTAGTAATAGGAGACAGAAGAGATGGGGATTAATCTTTTCTTCCTACTTGACTGCTATATATTTTGGAGGTAGTTGGTCACTTTTTTCTTGAATTAGTAGTTGAACTTTGTGGGTATTATTTGAAAGTCAGCATTTTAATCATAGAGTCAGAAGCTAAAGCTGACACAGACAAGAGAGACGACAAGTTTTCTTGTCAGGTTTTGGAGGAGACAGGTTGGAAAGGGGCTTAAAATGCATACTTCTAGATGTGTGACTTTTTAATACTCTAAACTTTTTCCACTGTACAACATCTGTTTACATGGCAGTTGATCAAATCACTTTCATCTCCAGTGTCCTTTTGCATGCTGGTTGCATGAAGAGCTAATTTCTCAGATATAAATTGGTGTCTGTAAACCTACATAATGACTTGTCTTAGAATTTGAATTGTCATTACAAAAATTAGCTAAGACATTTAAGACAAATTACCTCTAATTTGGTTATTAGATATATCTTGTTCTGGAGTAGCATAATTGAAATTAGCAGAATTACTTGCAATTTTTGTCCTTCATTCGCAGACATTGGTGTTAGTGTAATTATCCTAGGATGATCTGACTACCTCAGCCATGCCTAGTAGGGCAGACTTATATTAATTCACATCTCTTCATTTCAGGAGAATTAATCCTTGTACCTTTTACACTTTTTTCTTTGGCATTTTTCCTCCAGAAAGGAGACGTGGCTTCCCATTGGGCTGACACTAATGTCATTTTTGGACATGCCAGCAGGAGGAGCTTGCGTATTAAAATATGCTTTCGATAAAGCAATCACCAAATTAGAGTAATTGCACATAACACGGTGCTTTCTTCTGAAATGTAAACGACCATGCACCTATCCATAAAATAGCTCTCTGCCTGATACAAGCAGAAATACTGCCAGCAGTGGCCATCATGCTGGTAAAATAACTTATTTTAGACTGAGAAAAGCCCAGTGAGGGGAAAATTTATTTTTATCCCTTTGTATATTTGCTATTTAGATGCTTTTATATTTACATGTTCTGAAAGGTAAGTAAAATCACAACCCTCTGAAGCCAGTATCCCATGCTGTATTTTACAAGCATTACAGTAGCAACACTGCATTGCTGCAATTTTATAAATAGTATAAAAATAATGATTAATAATATTCATGTTACTAAAAGAAATCCATGCTAATAAGCACAGCTGAAATTGGATTCACATGATCAGAATTCTCTACAGCAACTTGGATAGCAATGCTGAGTTTCAAAATAAGAAATCGTAGGACCAGGGTTGGAAGTCTAATTATCATGGGCTACCAAGAATTAATAATGTATGCTAAATTAAATTTTTGGAGTTTTTATTTTAGTGACAAGAAAAATAAGGGATTAAAGATCTAACTTGTTCCTTTTGTTATTAAAGAAGGGAAGGATGTATACCACAGGTTATGCAATTTTTTTCATGTAAAGGACTTCCTAGTTACCGAGAAAGACTAAATACTGTAATAGGAGTGCAGTGAACCTTAATTTAGAAAAATCCTTTATTATTTTAACTAGGGTTCTTTAGACCATTCTGCTCAGAAATCTAGACAAGTAAAATACACTGCCATTAAAAAAAAATATTTTCTGTTAATGTTTAGCACCTGAATTGGACACGTTTTTTTCTGTTCTGTTGTTTTATTATCTTAGTAGCAAGTAACAGCCAATGTGCTCATTGTAGTTACAAAGCTCATGGCTACTGGTGATGCAGATGCCCCATCTTGCAGAAGGGCTCTGCATTCTCCAAATGAATTTTCCACTCGGTCCCAGAACTTGTTAAAGGCTTTTACTTTGCTACGATCTCTCCTGTGTGGCTGCTCAAAATGCTCAAGTGGAGCCTGAGTGTGCCTATGGCTTTTGCAGGGCTGTCTGACCTATCAGGAAGGTCACTGCAGGAGAAAGGAAACTACGTAAATTCAGCTATTGTTTTAAAATAGGTCTGTGTTAGTTTAATGTGGCAAGAACTGCAGATGAGCAGTTCCTCCCTGATGGACTTGTTAACTTGCTCTGAAGATAGGCATTATAAGTTCTTTGGTTTTTTTTTTAAGCTTATGAGAATAAGTTTGGATTTGTACACTGTGATTTTATTGCCTCGCTGAGTTGCAAAATGCAAAATTTAGTTTTATTTAATTGATCTGTATGTGAACAGTATAATTAAAAACCATGTGGAGTCCTCTAAAAGAACGGCAAAAGTACAATGCTATCCCTTTATACTGTAGTGTTCCAAGGAGTCTATAGCCTCTGAATATCACTTAGGTAAGCTGGAATTTCTGTTACTGCTTGTTTTTGAACTTTAATGTACTTCTTGGAGTCTTTTCCAAAAGGCTCATTCATGTAAGACTGTAGTCTGTTGTGGGTCAGAAGAGACTGAAGAATTCCCAACAGGGATGCATTAATAATGTACTTCATCATGTAATGATACATCCATCCATAATTAGAGGATTGTTAAGTGGAGCATCATCCAAGCTCTTGTCTAATTTGCTTGCACTTTTATCATTTCAGAATGCTTTTCCCACCCTTTCTGAACTGCAACTTGTAGAGATATGCTTTTATTCTGTAATTTGCAGTCTTCCATGAAGTATTGGAAGTTCTACTAGTTCTCATTTTTGAAAGGGCCGGTTTGGTAATTCACACTTGAGACACCAGTAGAAGGAATGCAGTTCTGTGTAGCTGAAGATGTGTGCTGTACTCCGCAGTCATGTGCCAGGCTCTCATAACATCTGCTTTTTTCATGTTTGGAGTGAACTGCAGAATAAGTTACATATAGTACAAACTAGCTACTTCTATCTTTATTTCTTGTCTTCCTAGTGATATTCCACCTTCTGAAGAACCAGTAAGCAAAAGCAATCACTCAAGAGTGACTACACGCTTCCCCAAGCTGTCTCGCAGCCATCAAAGAGAGCCACGAAGCCTGGAACCTCAGAGTGGTGATCTTTGACCCTTTTTTGGAACTGTGAGCACCGGCACCACGTGCTTTAAGGTGTTCTGTGATTCTTTCCTAGCCTGTGTTTGTAATTTAAGCTCCTGAAGAGACGACAGCGGCATCAACTGAAATCCTGAAAGGAGTCTCTCATTGCGGTGGGTCATATCCGCCTTCCTGCTTTGGAAGGCAGTCATCCCTTTCACAGAAGAGCAGGAGGACTGTTCCTGGGGGCTCACCAAACTGATAGGCATTTTCTTTGTTTTGCAAAGCGGCGTTGCACATATTCTCCTTCGTTATTCTGAAGTTCTGTTACTGTAAATTCCTTGTTTGTATTGTGTTTCTTTCTACATGTACATTCTTCTGTTCCAGAGAGATGTATCAAAGCATTTTTTTTGTCTTAGAAGAAAAGCTAAAATTATTATATCACTACTTAAGGTCAGAAAGATGTGCTTTAAAGAACCTCACTAATTTATTACCTTTTGTAAATAGTAAGACTGAGGGTTTTTTTATTGTAAACCTCTGACACACACAAAATGAAAAGGGAAAAACATTACAGGTGGAAAAATAGCTTTTGTACATTTCTAGGTAGATATTCTCAATAGCTTTCATTTGAGGGAAGTAATTCCTTAAAGTCAGGGAATGTAACAATTTTTTATTGAAATTTCAGTCTTGCTGTAAGACTGGGGAAAAATACTGATCTCTGAAAAAACAACCACAAGAATACGCAAAATTAGCATGGTGCAAAAAGCATTTTTGAGTCTTGAGTTCTATTTTGTTATTAATTTGTTGCCGATGTTACAGAACAGTCCATCATTAGCAGGGCAGTGTGGAATTCCTACTCTGATTTTGTAAAGCATTTCACATAGTGATACTTTAAAATTGCCTGTAATGAAAGTGCCTGTTACCCATCACCTCATATTGAAAAGTAATCTGTAATGGTACTACTGTAAGAGTGACTAAAAAGAATTGACAAGAATTATTACAAGTGATGGGAGTCCTGACATGGATTAACTGGAATCCAGTTCAGTATCCATTAGCTGTGCTGCCGTAGGCAGTTAATTATATGTTAGCTATCTTCTTCTCTTCATTAAGGTTAAGCAGTGTATATTCAAATTTTCTATCAATTGTATTCTGGTTTTCCTTTGTGTAAGAACATCTTTCTTCTTAGAAGTTTTTTTTGGATAATGTTACTTAAATTGATGTATCTTGTCATTTGATTATCCATTCATTATATTAAATTCTCACGTCAGTAGATATTGAAATCTAATATTACCCTGCAGAAAAAAACAAGCTGCTGATGAATAACAGATATTTTACCTCAGTACTTTACTAAAGTTCAAGAAAATTGGAACTTCTGTTCTGCAAATCTGTGACCATCGTGTGTTGTTTAGTCAGGTAGGTGGTCCAGTCATTTCCAGTAGCACTTCTTGAGTGAGTTAGGTGTCTGTTACACACAGTGAGTAGCATCAGTGGGCTGGTGCCTGAGCATGAGCCCCAAGTGCTGGATTCCTGCTATTGAAATATGTAGCTTATAGATTTGCACTGAATAGCAAAATGTGGCAAAGTGGAGTGGGATTCACTCTTCAGGTCAGAAATTTCACTAGATTAAATACCAGAAAGTAAAATTATGTCACAAAAATGAAACTGTTTTTCAGTCAATGAGATCTCATTTATAAAATAAATAGATAAATAAAAAATCCAAAGGGCCAGCCTGGGAGCTAGCTGCTTTGTTTTTATTAAAATAAGTTGAATTTTCGTAAACCATAGAGGAACATTTATTTAAGAGGAAAGGCAAGTGAGTAGTTTGTCAGTTAATGCGTCTCTCAACTCTTCAGTTTGATGCACTGCTGATTATTTAGTTTGGTTTTGTTGGGAAGAAAAGTAGCTATAGTAATAGTCCCACTTTGAAACAATTTTAAATTCATATTTCAGAAAGTGGAGTCTTGGTTTGTAGAAATATGAGACTCATCTATTAACACTGAGTTGCAAGTAAATCTGAAAGAAAACAGTGTGGAAACCTTGGTGATGTATCTGTCACATGAAGTTGTATTCATTTTCAAGATATAATTCACAAATTAAAGTACTCTTTATGTTACAAGTGGTAAGAAACCTCATTCAGTGCAGACTACATCTAAAATTTTATTTCAGTTGTAAAGAAGGATTTTTTTTAACCTCTGTGGTTCTTAAAATTCTTTCATTCCTGAATAAGTTGGTTCTTGCAATTTTTAGTGTATGTATGTAGATCACATAAAAATACTAAACTAGTTTACTGTGTACAAATTGTTCTTTGTTAACTTTAGCTGAATCATGTATCAAGTCTTAAGATTACAGTCTGCAAACAGTGTTCACTTTGTGATCCAGAATACCATAATTAGTGCATTATTTATACATTTGAAAACTCATCTGTGGTTTCTCTAAAATAATTAAATTAAAGCCTTTCTTCACTTTATAAACCTGGTTATTTATAAGATCAACAAGGTACTTGCATGACTGCAAGTAGCTGCCTAGTGACATAAATGCCCAAATTTTTAGCACCTCAAGACATTCTAAAGTGCCCTGTCTTCGAGAGAATTGTATGTATCTGTCACAAATCCCCCTTCTTCTGTTTATTTCCCAGAATTAGCAAAGAAAAAGAAGGTTGACCAGCTGGTATTAAGAATGCCAAATACTTGTATTATTCTTTTAAAACACCTGTTACAACGTTTCTATCAATTGAATGATTTTATCAGCATATTCTATATCACCCAGTTCTATGCGTGTAGTTACAATTTTTGTACAATTCTGATTCCTTTGACTCATTACATGTGGTCAGTGGCCAGGGCACGAGGAGTTGATGGGTTTCAACCAGTTCTTTTTAGTTCCTTTGAATAGCACAATAGTAGTCACAGAATAGAGGACTATTTTTTGAATCATATGCAAAATAATTTCCTGAGAAACACAGGGCAGACAAGACTCTTCCATTGTTTGAAGATGGAAGACTTTTGCAAGACTTCTGTCTTTGCACATCTTTTGTGGTTGTCCATCAGTAGTCATTACATACTGACTATGTTTTCTGCAGAATCTCATTTATTTATGTGTTTTGTCATTCATTACAGAGAATACATTGTATCAGCTTGGCTTTTGCATTGAATCAATATTCTTAATCATAAATTTCCAAAGCTTATATGAGGCAGGATATTGACATAGGCTTAAATTGATATGTCCATTAAGTCACATACTCACAGGAAGAGAAACAATTTCAAAGCCAGTCTTTTTTTTTATGAAATATATTGTTGATGTGTTAGTTGTAATCAAATTACAGTATCTTACAGAATCTACTGCAACTCATAAAGCGTTATGGTTGGATTAATACAAGTATGTAGAGAAAGGACAATAATGGCATTAAAAATCACTGACTTAAAATCATGACCTATTGCTAAGGTGCAATTTTTTTGTTACAAAGTAATGTTTTATTGTATAGAACAATGTCTGCATAGTAACTGTCAAAATCATTAATAAAACCTAATAACAAATGGGCTGGCTGTTTCGGAGCAGCAAGCTAATAATAAATGAGAATTAGTGAACCCCAAATGAACTAATGGTACTGTCTGTCAGGATATATTAATGATGTAAGAATGTGATATTTTGTTAACAATCAGTTATTGGTACTTTCACATAAGGATGTCATTCTTTGTGCTTCAGAGCACACAGGGATCTCAGTTCTGCTATGAGTTTCATGCTATCTCAAAGGCAGACCCCCCCCCCATTCTTCACCTCCACACTTTTCATCTAATAACTTGTAATTCTGAAGCCAGATAATATATACCTGTGGATAGAAATAGTTACTTGCTTGAAAATACTTTGAGAAACCTGTGGAACAGCTGTTTAAAAGAAAGGAAAAACATTTCTTCACCAAATTCTACTCCTATATCCCCTTTTATGGGCTATTCTAACTGGAACTCTAGTAGATATGAAAATAACCATGTTTAACATGAGAATACTATTTTCTCCTTGGAAACAATAGTAATACTTCTGTATTGGAACTTGAGTCAGTTCTGGAAAAGTGGTTAAACAACTCAAGGAAATAAAAAATTTCTCTCCTTCAGTTTCTGTAGGTGAGGATATTTCGGTCAGCACCCTGCATCACATGGCATATTAATTTGATGGTTATTTAGTCATTTCAGTAGTTTCTTAGTGTTGTGCATTTAAAGAATCACTTTAAGATATGAAATGATACATATATAAAATATAGAAGATATTTAAAAGTATCAGTTAACCTGCTTTATATTTCACGTATTGAACAGAAGATAAAACACTTGTTCTGCACAGTGGTCTGACACTGTACATTTCATTTATTTCTTACTCTGCACTAACTGTGCTTTCATGGTCCAGTTATTGATAACTTAATTGATTTATAAAATTTCTTTAAAAAATAATCAGAGCATAATTCTAATTAATAATAATCACAATTTTTTGTTAATAATGGCATGAATTTATACTAGAAAACAGCATTGACGTGTGTAGAGAGGAATGAACTTTCCAGATTTACAAATTGCTGCAAATAGCTGGACTTAATATTTTTTTATGTTGCTTTAAAAAAAAAACCAAAGTATTGCACTTCCCTGTAGGGGGAATCAGTTTCTTTAACAAGATTTCAGAAATTATATCCCTGCTATGGCAGAAGTTAAACTGTGATAGTTGTTTTTTTTTTTTTGAGTGGAGTATTAATCTTTAAAGATGCAATGAATTATAGAAATGTAAATGTGGTTGAAAAGTCTAATTCCAAAATGCTGTGCTTTCCCTCTTCCTTAACACCGAGATAAATAACCAAGTGTCTTCTGTGTGGGACCAAACCTGTTGGCAGCTGAGAAAGCTGGATTGCCCTTTTGATTTGGCGGGAGGGGATTTTTTTTGTTGTTCCTGTTAAACTGTAGGAAGGATAGTATTAATTCTGAAGACTATATATGTACAGTATTCACATAAGTATTAATAAAACATTTGTAATATTATTTTAACTTGTTATGCTAATGTTTACA